GCGCCGGCGGATCCTCGAGCCCGCTCGTGGCCGGGGCACAGCCGAGGCCAGCGACGCCCCCTCCTCCTCCTCCTCCTCCTCCTCCTCCTCCTCCTCCTCCTCCTCTCCTCTCCTCCTCCTCCTCCTCCTCCTCCTCCTCCTCCTCCTCCTCCCTCTCCTCCTCCTCCTCCTCCTCCTCCTCCTCATCCCCCCCTCCGTCCTCGTCCTCCTCCCCCTCCTCCTCCTCGGTCCTCCTCCTTCCTCCTCCTCCTCCTCCTCCTCCTCCTCCTCCTCCTCCTCCTCCTCCTCCCCCTCCGTCCTCGTCCTCCTGCTCCTCCTCCTCCTCCCCCTCCGTCCTCCTGGCTGCACGATGGCTGCAACGGGCTTCTCCAGGGCGCCTCGGAGGCCGCCGCCCTCCAGCGCGGCACGGGATGCGACGGTGCGCGACGAAGGCCCACGACCCGGGGTCGGAGGCACCGATTGCCCCACCCTGGCGCCTGCCTCCGACCCGCGGAGCCCTGCTCGAGGTCGAAGCGAAGACGCCGCAGCAGCGCGCCGAGGCACCCGAGAAGCGACCGCGCTGGTACGACGCGGGAGAGCTCCGCTCCGCCCTCGGCGCGGGCGGGGCCGCGCGGGCCCGCTGCGGCGGGCGCCTCCCCACAGGGGCCGCGCCGCGCCGCGCCGACGCCCGCGGGCCCCTAGGCGGCCGCGGAGAGGGGGCCGCCGGCTGCAGCGCGAGGGGCCGGGCGCCCCCACCGGAGGCGCCTTTGGCTGGCGGGGGGGGCCGCGCCGAGCCCGTGGGGCCGAAGACGGCTCGAGATGCTGAGCAGCGAGCTTGTTTTTTTTTTAAGGTTGAAAGGGTCTTTTTTTGGTTGCCAGCTCCGCCCCCCCCCAAAAAAAACCCGGCCTCCACCCGAAACAAAACCCTCCCTACCCATAAAAAAAACTCGCCATCCGGTTTTTTTTCCGGGTTGGGTTTTTTTTCGGGTTGGGGCCTCCGCAGCGCGCCAACCCGAAAAAAAACCCTTTCAACCCGAAAAAAAACGCAGCTCTTGAGCAGCGCCCTGAGGAAGGGGTCGTGAGGCCCAGAGGGCCCCAGGGGCTCCAAAACGGATCGAAGAGCTGGTGGGGCACCTTGGACCAGGGGATCCAAGACGGATCGGAAGCTGGGAGGCCCAGAGGGCCCTGGAAACGACAGGGCCGTTTTTGTCACCGGTTCCGTTTTGCCGTTTTTGTTGCCGGTTCCGACGCCGTTTGTTCTCCGGTTCCGTCGCCGTTGTTTTACCGGTTCCGGCTCCGGTTCCAAGGCTGAAGCCGTTTTTGTTGCCTTTTCCAGTCGTCGTTTTTTGGCCGTTTCCACGTTCCAGGGGCCTTTCTTCGGAAACGGTGAAACAACGGCCCTGCCGTTTCCGGGGCCCACTATAGGTCGGGAGGCCCAGAGAGCCCCAGGGGCTCCAAAACGGATCGAAAAGTTGGGGGCATCTTGGGCCAGGGGCACCTCTCTAGCAGCACCCGCCCCCTCAAACCTGCCGGCGAGGTTCAGGGGATCGGAATATCCAAAAATAGTTCAAGCATTGTATTTGGACGATTGTCTGACCATTGTTGAGCGTGTATTGAATATTTGTGGGGGTATTTTCAATTTGTCGTCCAAAATCCGCCTGTAGGGGGACGCGCCCGACTTCAGGGGCAGGCGTATGACCCAAGGTGCCCTGTGCGCTACCGCCACCGCGTGCAGACCGTTTGGACAGTCGACGGGGCAGGTTCGCGAGCGTGAGACGTTCAAAACAACCCACACGTGATCTCTCAGGAGGGGAAAAAACACACAGACACCATTGTTCGTCGATTCCCAGAAGATATGCGAAAATATGGGAAGTGGGGGGGAAGACAGAAACCCAGAAAATATGTGAAAATATAAGAAATCTTTTCATTTGTGTGTATTTATTTGTGTGTCCCAGGGCCCATTCAATCTCCTTTTCGGGCGAGCACATGCGTGCGGCTCCCACTAGAGGGTATGGCGCAGGAGGCAGCCGAGTCCGAGGCGGTCTCCGCCCGCGCTGCAGGGGAGCCGCCACCGGCCTCGGAGGTGTTGCGGAGCAGCAGCAGGCCTCCTGGAGTGCTGCGCCGGAGAGGATGTTCCTTTTCGCGGCCACGGACTTTGATCTGCTCTCCCTTCGCTGTGCGCCCGCCGCGACCGAGTCCCTGGTCGCGTGGGGGCGCGCAGCTGGCGGCGGCGACGGGCCAGCATTAGGAGGGTCAGGGCGTGCGTCGATCACTGACGTAGCTGAGGATAGATTGCGGTTCCCGCCTTGTCCGAGCAGCAGCGTATGACCTCGGATGCGCCCCGATGGGAAGCTCCGCAGGAAGAGCATGAGCAGGATTTGCCAGCTGGCCACCAACCAGTGCGCGCATACCTCAGGAGGGAAAGAAACACACAGACACAATTAATCGTCGACTCCCAGGAAAATATGGGAAGTGGGGGGGAAGACAGAAACACAGAAAATATGGGAAAATATGGAGAATCTTTTTATTTGTGTGTATTTATTTGTGTGTCCTGGGGCCCCTTCAGATTTCCAGCTGGCCATCAACCAGTGCGCGCATACCTTCGCGGACTCGCACGAGAAGCGGCAGGAGAAGGCTGGCCCGCTGGACAGCAATCGCCTCCTTCGGAACCTCCTCGAGGGCGAGCCTTGTGGCTGCCGCGGGCCAGGCGGCAGAAGTGCCGCCAGCAGGCATCATGGGGCACGCGACGGGCTCCATCGAGCAAGAGTTCTTGGTGGGCGACCCACTGGAGGTGTAGAGCCTTGCTGGTTGCGAGGGTCACGTCGCAGGGCAGGCGATCCACGAGATGCCAGCGGACGTGCTCGCGCTGGCGTGTGGCATCATTGCAGGAGGAAGACGCCTGCGGCAAACCACCGGCGCACTACTGCAAGCGTTGAGCCAACGTCTGGCGAACCTATTGGAGCATGTGATGCCCAGGCCGTGGTGGAAACTTCCGGGTGAACATTTTTGGGGGCAGTCTGGGAGAGGGAGAGATAGGAGAAGGAGGAAGAGGATGTTGAGGCCTCTCTCTGAACCTCCTGTGGGTTTCGTGGGGGGTCTATGATGGACTCTCAGAGCGTGAATTACCTACCCCGCTTTCGCTTCCAGGCAAAACCAAGCCATACCACGCGCCTCCTCGTCAAGCGGCCTGACCAGTACAGGCTGCAGTTTGGCATCGCTTGGTAGGTCAAAGCGAGGTAGGTTTGTGTTCCCCCTAGACTCTTTGGGACCTTTAGAGGCCTCTTGGGGGCCCCTGCGGGACTCTTGTGGGCCTCCTGGTCCGTCTGAAGTATCTCTTGGGCCGTCTTGCGCCTTCGGAGGCCGCGCTCGGTGCGTCTCTTGGGCCGCCCGGGGCTTGCCTCGGGGTGCGTTAGGGCCGTCTTGGGGGTCTCATGGCCCGTTTTCGGGGTGTCTTACAGTCAAGACTGATAGCAAGGATGAGCGACTCTCCAAGGTTAGGCATGGCCTTCCATGGCCCTCGCATCTTCATCGTGCATTCCCACACCCAGTTTTGACTGTAGGCAGCCGTGGGGCTTTTCAGGAGGCCTCTGGGACTGTCCGTGGCTGCCACAAGCAAGAAAAGGCGAGAGTGCGGAGATCTCTCGAAAGCTGTACGACGGTGTCATGGGGGCCTCGTGGGCCGTCTCGAGGGCATCTTGGGCCGTCTTGACCGGACATAGTGAGCTGTCTTATGGGCATATGGGGGGCATTTGTTTTAGTTCGCCAGTTTGGCCGGCTTGTGCCCTACTTGGAGACCAGTGAAGGCCATCCTGGATACGAGTTGTTTTGATTTTGCGGTCCGCCCAGGTGGCCAGCATTTTAGGGCCGAATGAACGGACGAAGCAGCCATACGCCAAAAGCGTGTGGGCAAGGACAAATAGAGCGACACACCAAACGCGTGCAATAAGAAGTTACGCCAAACAGCCTGCAGAAGTACAGAGACACGAATCAATGTTTTACTCACAGCCGTTCGCCTTCGCTGTAAAGGACAACATTTTTAACACATTCAGACCAGGAGTCTTCGCTAGTGAGACAACACAGCAAGGCGGATTCAGAAGAGAAGCAATTGCGGATTTTATTGTAGAAGCATTCTGCCTATCCGTGTATTGGGAGCCCGGGCGCCCGCGCGTACGAGTCAGTGACAGGTTGCAGACTATTTGGTTGAAACGTCAATTTCCTCAGCACATCTTGACCATTTGCCCGTCCTACCGTCCCAAACCATATCAATTGATGTTTCAACAGCTGAGAACTGTATGGCTGCACCCCGGCTTTTTTTCAAAACTGTTTTGTTTGGAACTCGTGAGATGCAATAATGGGTTATGTTCAGAATTTGCAGTAGGCAGCGCACTTGGAATACATCCAATATCAATTTTCTTGTTTGTTCAGCCAAGCTCATTTCAAATAATACATGACTTTGCTTGTTATGAGCGCCCCGAACACTTTGAGTTTTCTGCGCGTGCTGACTTCGGTGTGTTTTCTGCACATGCTGACTGCGGTGTGTTTGGGGGCCACAGGGGGCATTTTGCGAGGGACAAGAAGTACTCCCAAGATTGTCACGCCACTCATCCTTGCGACAAAGCAGATGGGGGCGGGGAATCTGGTGGCATTCGGCCCATCTCGGATAAGGGGCCTCTTAGGAGCCGCTTGAGGTTGGCCTCTTTTGGAGCCCCCTACAGGCCTCTTGGATGTCTGCCCTCTTGACTTCTTCTTGGCAGCATTCCGGGGGCATCTTAATGAACCATCGTCGGGGGTAAAGGGCTCAAAATGTCAGTTCGGATTTCCACATCGTGGGCCCCTCTTGGGGCTGCCTTGGGGGCCTCTTGGGGCCTTGCTGGACAACAGCGACGAGGTCGAGGACGACGACGACGTCGACGACGACGACGATGACGATGACGACGACGACGGTGACGACGACGGTGACGACGACGGTGACGACGGCGACGGCGGCGACGGCGACGGCGACGGTGACCGGCGACGGCCAGGTCGCGCTCGGTGTCCTCATGTTGCTGCGCTCCCAGCAGAAGCTGCTGGAGGCCCTCGGCGTCGGCAGTGAAAACGTCGACGGCTGCGGTGCCGGCGGCTTCGGTGGCGACGACGGCGGCGGCTGGACAATCGAGAACAGGTTTGGGGGCGCCCGGGGGCCCCTGCTGGCCTCCAGGTGCTTCTGGAAGGAGGACTGGAGGCCTCCAGGCGGCTTCTCGCGGAGACCCCTAGGGACCTCCCCGAGTCCCCCGCCGTCGTCGTCGTCGCCGTCGCCGTCGCCGTCGCCGTCGCCGTCGCCGTCACCCTCGCCGTCGCCGTCGCCGTCGCCGTCGCCGTCGCTTTCGCCGTCGAGGATGTTCCGGAACGCGCCCTCCGCGTCGTTGAGAGGCGTCGCCTCCGTCGTCGTCTTTGGAGCTCGTGGTCGTTATCGCCGAACATCGGATTCGGCGGCAGCGAAATGCATCGTCGTCGTCGCCGGCACCGATCGGCGTCGTCGTCGTCGCTGTCTCAGGTCGGAGGGTGTCAACCATGCACCCGCACCGAGTCTGGCCAGGCCCATCCTGGGCGCCGTATCGGTGTGTATATTCTTTCCTGGCCGAGCCGGGAAGGCGAACTTCGGATCTTCTAGTAAGGGGGGTGGGGGGTCTATCTTTGCGGGGGGCCTCGTCAAGCAAGACTGCCTGGGAGTCTCGATACTGAGCCCCTGATTGCACCGTTCTCTTGGGTGGAGCTCGGACGCGCTGCCAGGCACTCCGACCCCTCCCCTTCAGTGTGAGATTCGGCCGACCCTCCTGCGAGGCCTTGGAGCGACCAACTCAACGACATGAGTTGCGACCAGTGGGCCCGACGAGTCCCTGACTGGACCCCTGACGGACGCAGAGCCAGAGCACGCCCTGTTAGCAGATGGTCCGACCAACTCTCGCTGAGCCCGTAGGGGCACGTAGCCGCGCGCGCGGCCTGTACTCACCTTTCCTTCCCTCATTCCTTCCCGCGAGGCCTTCGCCGTCCTCAGCCTCTACCCGCTGTCCCTCGGCCTCGTCTGGGTGCTGGAGAACAAGCTCGGGTGGGACTGAGGCGGAGAGGCGGCGTGCCTCTCCCGGTCCTCCTCGCGCCCGAGAGGGGGGGGGAGGAAGAGAGGAGGATGGGAGGGGGAGAAAGAGGAGGAGGAGGAGGAGGAGGAGG